ATCTAGATTGCAGGGTGGATATCTTAGTTCTAGAGAGGTGAGGTACCATAGTTTTTAGGTGCTCTGAGTCAGGTGCCATGGAGTTCAAGAAGGAGGAGGAGTGGAGCCCATAAGCTCTAGGGCAGGGGCCATGCCTCATTATCTTCGTGATCCTGGGCCCAGCACAGTGCCTGACACAACTGAGGTGATCAGTTAATGTTTTTAAATGAATGAGGTTTCGTTATCATAGTCAGCTCAAGGCCGATTTTGAAGTTTTTGCCTTGCATACAGTTATTCCTTGTGTTTGGGTTTCTGTTTGTCCGTCCGTCTGTCTCTCTTTACTCTGGGAAGTCTTCCCTCCTTTTTGGATCATATTCATTTTCCCTGCAATATGTTGTAACTTATTACATGTAGCTATTAGATGTAAAACAATCAGAATATGATTACTATGAAAATATAAACTTAAAAAGCCCTGTTTGGGCACCTGGGTGGCTCAGATGGTTAAGCGTCTGCCTTCGGCTCAGGTCACGAACCCAGGGTTCTGGGATCGAGTCCCACATTGGGCTCCCGGCTCAGCGGGGAGCCTGCTTCTCCCTCTGACCCTCTCCCCTCTCATGCTGTTTCTCTCTCACTCGCTCTCTAAAAAATAAATAAAATTTTAAAAAAAAAGCCCTGTTTTAGGGACACTTTTACTTTTAGGGGGGCTGCTTGTTAGTCAAAATTAAACTCTAAATAGCAGAATTAAGATGATTTTAAAAAATGGAATGATTCATACATTTCTGGTATAAAATCTATCTGGAAAGCAATTGAGAAACACAGATCAAGGGCCTTAAAAGTGTTCATGCTTCTTGGTCTGGTAATCCCAATTCTAAGAATTTGTCCAAGGAAGATAACAAAGATTTGTGTGGGAGAGTACTGAAAGACTCAAAGGTGCCACTCTTCATGTTCTCACTCCCCTGAAGGACTCCCATCTCTGCTAAGATTGTGTGAAGCCATGCCCCTCCCTGAGAGGGGGATCAGAGAGAAACCCTCTCTTTTCAGCCAGCTAATAGTCATAGTGAGTTATTTGAGCCCCAGGAATGTTACCTTTGGTCTATTTCATTTTCTCTCCAGATTAAAGAAAAAGAAAAAGGTAAGTCTGTTTAGATAGGTAGGGGGAAAATAGGGAAAAATAAATAGGAAAATTTCCTATTCTGTTCTCAGCTTCGTCTTAAAAAAAAATTCTCTTTCAGGAGTAGAGTCTCCAGACAGAATAACCTCCAGAACTATGTGAGAAGAAGGCCTTGTTACATAATGGATATTCTTCTGCAGATGGTTTTAAAGACTTGTGACACAGCCATGATGGCTATTAAATGGATTACTTTAAAACTATATACAACTGGGGTTGTGGGCCTCATTTTAAAATTTCATTAAGATTCTTAATTGCTTACAGTTATATTTCTTCTTAAGTTAGGGTAATTTGGTTGAGATCGGCAACTGGCTTTATGTGCATGGCTGTCTTAGGTACATTCCCAAGAACTCTGCTTTCGGGGAACTAATCACACTTGAACTCATCTGGTAATGCATTTTCCTTTCCTTTTCCCTTTTAATAACACATTCTTTATAATTTCCATTGAATTAAATTATTTTTCATTGTTTCCCTGACTGATTCCCAGATACAAATTATGTCTTCCTGCTAGTCTCCTTTCCTTCCTTCACAGTGGTAATAATAACTTGAAAATATGTAACTAGTTGTGTGTCTATTAAGGCCTGTCTCTCTTCCTAGACTGTGAGCTCATCCAAGCAGGGGGACATCGGCTCACCCCTCTACACCCACGGTGTAGCACACAGTGAGCCTTTACCAAACACGGCCCAGTAAGTAGATAAACAAACAGAACTGCTTCTGGAAAAAATGATCAGCATTTATAACAACGTGGACATCTGATCTCCCCTGCATAATGTCACCTGTAAGTCAGCAGATGGTTTTATGATCATTCAAAGAATATAAGTGACAAGTGGTTTAAATCTCGGACTAAATGCATGTACATACAAGTGAGACTTGCTATCACGTATGAATTGGACCCTTCTGTAATACAGACATTTGTTTCGAACTTTGGGAAAGGGTTAGCTGTTGCTAAGAAGACCGCAAAACATCTTGTTACAGTAGAAAAGCCGAAATGAACCGCCACGCCATCCCCAAGAGCAGCAAAGAAAACAAACTTCCAGAGCAAACCTTTCCAGGAACTGTAGGAAGGAAGATTAATAGAGTATTATATAAGTTCAGTTAATGTATTGAACCCTGTCAGTGGCATTTTTCTCACTGATTTCTAAAAAAACAAAAATATATATATAATTTTTTAATTCTATAGGCTTTCTCTATTGTTACAAGATTGATCAAATCTTTTTTTTTTTAATTAGCTATTCATTATATATTTTTTCTTGCTTTCTAAACCTTGTCTCACCATGTGAATGAGTTAGAATGAGGGAGGAACAAATAGAACAAACCAAAGTTATGGAGAAAGTATGTGTGTGAACTTTATTTCATCATGAGAAAATCACTTCTGTGCAGTAACAGAGAATACTGATATATCTACACGATGATAAGGTTTTCTTTGTATTTAGATACATACCTTATATTTGTACACAATATATAAAATTCATGGAGGAAATTAATTTCTACAGTACAGTTTCTTTGTTGGAAGAGGACTTGTTCCGTTAGTTTCGTTTAGAAAATGACCCCCAGTTCTGTGACTGTGGTACCAGGGATCGCAGTTCCAATCCTGTAATTTATTAGACACCATAATCTTATGAACAGTGAGAGAAACTGAGAAACTACATCCTCCTGCAGGATGAAAAGAGAAACATGAATGCTCAATCTGCTATGCTAGTAACTGATTTTAGCGGAAGAATATGATTTCCATGATATATTATGAATAGAAATAGTAGGTCTCATGATACATATTAGCAACATTGCTGCAAACTGTCTCCCTGCTCTGACGGCATGCACTTCACTCTTCAATCAAACCACCTGGTACGCACGTGGGAAGCGAGGCCATCCTCATGAAGGGCCTTCTGCATGGCATGTGGGCAACTCTTGGAGGGCTTTAGCGTTTAGCATGGGACTCGGGAAAAGAGGCAACTGCTCTCAAGCAGAGAGGTCATCCCAGAGGGAAGTTGCTAAAGGGGTCATTCGGCAGGCTGTAGCTACCGCATCCCTATAACCCGATGGGAAATAGGTTGTGCGGGCATGTTTCCTTCCGCGAATCCTTCTCTTTGAATAGCATCCCTCACAGACTTACCACTGCTCCCCAAGCACGGTTTTTACGGCTAGGGGCCTGTCAACCTTGCTGTGGGATTTGAAGTTGTGCTTGTTTTTAACCATGTGAACCATTTAAAGGGTGATTGGCGCATGCCAAGGTTTGTGGGAAGTGGGAACAAAACACCACCACAGTTCTTTGAGCTAACATCTTGAATTTGAACAAAATCAACACACTTGGTTCTGCAGAGGGAAGTTATGGGGAATGCCAGTGGGGGTGACTTCTATGATTAAAATGACACCCAGAAGGTCTGAAAATGCTCTGGCACCGACCACAATCACCTCTTCATAGGTTTAATTTCATGTGCTGTAATTGCTTTTAAAATGAAAATGTTAAAATCCTCAGAGGTTATACCTGGTCATCAAAGGCAAGCCCCTCTTCCGAGAGGAATGGCTTGACTCTGATGACCAAAATATGTACAGTATGGCCAAGAAGTGAAAGTTCTCTGGGGCTTGACCTTGTACAGTGGCCCTTGGTGGCCTAACCCAGCCTAGAGGGACGGGCAAAGGTGAAAATGGCGAGGTAATGCGGAGTTGCTGGTCATTTCCTGTTTGGTGCCCACAGGAAGCCTCAGTCCTGGCGCCGCCGGCCTCGGCTTTGGCCGTGAGATGGAAGCGGTCCGCGCTGGGTAAGCCAGGAGTGGCCGACAGGCCCTCTCTGAACAGCTCTAGCACCCCACACCCATTGGAAACATGTTCAGTCACACAAATCCACAGCTGGAAACAACCTCAGCCCCACCCTCAGAAACAGGCAAGCACTACAGAGCAATTTAGAATCATCTGGGTAAAATTGGCAAGTGATGTGTGTCGTGGAGAAAGGGAGCCTGCCCTAGAGCCTAGATACATTTGTTTCACACACCGGGGGGGACATTCAGGCCTTCATTTTTTCAGCTTCTTCAACTGCAGCTTATTTAGAGTGTTATCAAAGGAAGCCGACGCCCCAGGCCATTTGAACTGCCGCTGTGGACTCTTTGGTTTGATCACATCCACATACCATGGGCTCTCTAACGGCAGGAGAGGAACAGCGGCATTGTGCCAGAATGCAGAGCAAGTCATGGAAACACTTCAGAATGTGGGCAGTGGTGGGGTTACCTCCGGGCTTGCCAGCCACTTTAGATGCCTCGCAGTTCTCGCTCGGAGGGATACTGCTGAAGGGCCTTACCCTCAGACGTTTGGAGGACCAGGGTCTTGCTGTACTGGCTCACTCCTGTTTTGTTGAAGGCCTTGATGCGAGCGTTGTATGTGCTGTTGAAGTGAAGACCGTCCACGGTGCACATCGTCTCCTTTCCAACATACACTTCCTGAGGGGCAACAAACAACAGGCCACCATTTAATGCCGGCCCTTGTGAGGGGTGAGGGACGCAGTGTCGCTCAGTGGTCAGGAGCAAGCATTTTGGTGGTAGCCTGATCTGGAGTCAAATCCTGTGGGATACTAAGCTATTTAATGGACTTAAGAAAAATTTTTTTTTAAGATTTATTTATTTATTATTTGAGAGAGAGAGTGAGAGCATGGGGAGGGGAGGAGCAGAGGCAGAGGGAGAAAAAGAGAGATAATCTCAAGCAAACTCCCTGCTGAGCGTGGGGCCTGTTGCGGGGCTCAATTTCACAACCCATGAGATCATGACCTGAGCCAAAACCGAGAGTTGGATGCTTAACCAACTGAACCACCCAGGCACCCCTAATTGACCTTTTTTTTTTTTTTAAAGATTTTATTTATTTATTTGACAGAGATAGAGAGAGAGAGCACAAGTAGGCAGAGAGGCAGGCAGAGGGAGAGGGAGAAGCAGACTCCCTGCTGAGCAGGGAGCCAGATGTGGGACTCGATCCCGGGACTCCAGGATCATGACCTGAGCCAAAGGCAGTCGCTTAACCAACTGAGCCACCCAGGCGCCCTTTATTATTTATTTTTAAGATTTTATTTATTCACTGAGACACAGAGATACAGAGAGAGAGCATGAGCAGGGGGAGAGGCAGAGGGAGAGGGAGAAGCAGACTCCCTGCTGAGCAGGGAGCCCGATGCGGGACTCGATCCCAGAACCCTGGGATCATGACCTGAGCTGAAGACAGCTGCTTAACCAACTGAGCCACCCAGGCGCCCCCCTAATTGACCTTTTTAAGTCTCAGTTTGCTCATATGTAAAATGGGGACAATAATACCCAGTTTATGAGGTTGCTAGGATGATCATATAAGGAGGTCATGTGTGCAAACTGTTGAACATTGTACCTTATATTTAGCATGGGCCTGGCACCTTAATGAATGGTAATTACTAGTGGTTAGGGTTTAAAAAATTAAAATTGGGTGCTTATAGTTAGCATTATGCTTATTATTATTAATTTGGCATTTACACATATATTATTATACCTACCGAGCTCTTTATCCATCAGCATGATTTGTAAAAACTGGTTGGGTGGTTGGGACCACTTAGAGGGTGGTCTCTATGCTGTGTCTATAACTCCACTGGTAACTTTAGGAACTGTCACAAAGATTACACTCAGAGTCACAGGAGTATAGGTTTTATCGTGGTGCAGAGGGAAGGGGGAGGAAACAGGGGCGGGAGGAAGAATGACATTTCAAAGGCTTAAAATAAATTGTAGCATAATGCATCTTTAGCATAGGTTAGGCATGTGCCTCCCTCTTTAGCTGTAGGCTTCTGCAACATTATGCTGATGTAATGAGTAAAAATAATTTTTATTCAAAGCACAGCCTTAAAATGATAACTCTCTGGTGGGATACTAACCAGATTGGGGTCTGGGATCCTGGCATGCTAAGAATTTTATATGATGGATTATCTAACTGACTCTTAACAACAATGCATGTGGTATGTGTTAATATCACCCCCATTTTACAAATGAGGTCCTGAAGGCTCAAAGAAATGAAAAATGGGCAGTCACATGGCTAAATGCTGGAGTCCGGATCTGAGTGCAAGCAGTTGGACTCCAGAGCTTGTGGCCTGCATGGGCCTTCTCTTCAGAAGGGGAGGGCAGTTTCTATTCAGAGACTCCTTCGTCCATCTTTGACGGTTCAAGGAGAATGCAGGCCTCAGTTGAAGGGCAGGCAGACCCTGCCAGGATGGTCTGGCCTCAGGAGAGGTGGGTAAGCTTGGCCTGAGACCCCACAATGGGTCCTCTGAGGTGGTCCCTGGCTTTGGTTAACAAGTAGCAGATGCTCTACTTACCCGGAACTGACCACCATTGCCGTCATCCAGCTCCAGAATGTAGCCTTCGGCAGGCACCGTGGACAGGGGTGGCTGTTTCCAGGACAGCGTGGCGCTGTTGTTGTGAGTACAGCACTCCTCCAGCTGCAGGATGGGGGTTGCTGGGACTGGAGAGGAAGCTAAACAGAAATTAGTGTAACCCTGGCTTCTGCTGAGTTGCGAACATTTCAGGATCTTGGAATGAGTCGTGGCTCGACTAAGTAGCTAGCCCATGGGGGACCTGAACTGGATCCCTTCCAGAGTCTCTAGGAGTGGGACTGGGTCCTGAGCTGCTGTGCTGCCTTTTCCCAAACTCGTGGTGGCACTTCTTACCTTAACAGTTGGGGAGACAATTGCTCTGTTCTCACCCCCTTGAGCACCGAAGACATCATACTTAAGGGAACTATTTTAATGTGGGATGGGTTTCCAGCCCAGCCCACTAAAGCCCATGTAACCTATAACACGGCTGAAAAATGTATCATAAAATTTATTCTGAGCCTTGGCCCCCAGTGTATAAACTTGGAACTGCCTATTCAGAGCAGTTTGTTTGTTTTACCAGTGATTCTACTCAAGGTCTTGCGCACGTAAGTAGCTGCAACAGTGGATTTTTGAAAAATGGACAAAAGGACATAAAAGGACATAAAAACAGTGATTTCTCCATTTCAAAACTTCTGAGGAACTTGACCCCATTCTTTCATGGTAGCTATGCTAGCTCAGGTCCACTCTCTGCAGGTGCAGAACAGCCAACTGTGAGCCTGGAGAGCAGTATGGGAGCAGAAGGGGCCCCGCAGGGGAGGGTCAAGGTGTCCTTGTGACTTTGCGAGAATCTGCCACAGTACTACTGGTCACAACATGCCCCTGTCCCCATTTTGTGCTGGGGGTCTTTTCTATTACTTCAAACTGCAGAGCGGTTGAGCCTTCAGACACATAGACATAGAACTGTTAGGTACCAAGCAATCCCAGTTCCTAACATATGAACTCAATGTATGTATTTGGGAGCAGTGTTTTTACCAACTGTTTAAAAATTTTTTTTTTTTTTTTTAGCACCAAACCATTAATTTATTTTTGTAGCACTTTAACAACAGGAGAGAACAGTTTGGGCCGCATCCAGGGACATTTAAACGAACAAATGTTAATTATGGAACACCTGGCATGCTGTACCGAAATTGGACTCTGTGTCATTCATCAAATTATCTGCTCCCTGCCATCACCTCAACCCCAAAGATAGTATATTTAATAGCAGTTTAGGAAACAGGTTCTATGGTGGATAAGCTAAAGAGCAATAGCAGTGATCAGAACACAAGAGATGCGAAGGTGAGGCAAGTCAATTATGCTTAAGAAAAGACTTTTATACAAGAAGACCATGCTGGACAATTACGATGAACTCTAAAAAACAAACTGAGGGTTCTAGAGGGGATGGGGGTGGGAGGATGGGTTAGCCTGGTGATGGGTATTAAAGAGGGCACGTTCTGCATGGAGCGCTGGTGTTATACGCAAACAATGAATCATGGAATACTACATCAAAAACTAATGATGTAATGTATGGTGATTAACATAACATAATAAAAAAAAAAAAGAAGACCATGCTGGAGTTACTAGAGCAAACATAACAAAATCAAAATTATGACCAGATAATTGGAGGTAGTGAGTGTAGGGACGGAAATCATGTTTCAGATTTCAATGGCATAGGGTTCAGTTGGTCTTATGAGAGAAGAGTGGCTTCTATAGCCTCAGAGGGCCCCGAACATCTAGAATTGGAGGAAAGGAGATAGATTCATTGCCTTGTTCAAGAAATAGACTACAGGATCGGATGGGAAAGGGAGGAGAGAGAAGACGTTACTCCTAGTGATCATCTATCCATAAACAGGCATCACCTAAGAGTTGTAATTGGAGGGTTAACTTGAGGTCATCACGTATTAGGAAACCACTTGGTCATTAAACATTTTTCCCTTATAAAAATAATAAATTTTAACATATTAACTATGGAGTAAATTATGATGAGTTTAAGCAAACCGTTCTTCAAAGGGCTTCTAGAGACATGGAATGACTCTCCCCGGGGATATTTGTTCTGAGCTGTCCTTATGAATCAGAACCTACCATAAAACAACCTATTCCTTGGACTCTCTTTATTTCATTAGCTCCCCCATCAATCTTCATTTTCCCTTTGTTCATGTCTCAGGCAAGTCTACATTTCATCAATTTTAAAATCAAAGAATAAGATCACAAGATGGTTTCAACTTGAATCATGCAAATGCTTGCAGTGTCTCTGATAAGAAACTCAAATTTCCTTGTATAGGCATAGGTATAATTAACAGATTAATTGAAATACATGGTGTCATGTGTAATTAAAACATGGGAACTTCATTTGTAAGTCCTCAGTGGATACACTTTAAAAGACCAAAAAGATAATAAAAAGTCTAACCACTCATAATCTTCAGATTTTAATATTGTCTAGAACTTAAATTAAACAAACAAAAAAGTGAAATGAGGGAGGGAGAGAGAATGGAGAGAGAGGGAGGGAAAGGGAGAGAGAGAGAGAGAAACGAAAATGAAGGACTATAGAGACATATGCATGTCTAAATCTATTTCTTAATGTGCTCAGAATTATTTTTTCTGTTTCCTTATTTACCCCAAAGTGACGTGGCCTATAAAAGGCAAATGTGACAAAATTACAGCCTCTTCGACAAAGACTAAGGCTGACATTTTAGAAAAACGGATTTTATAGTGGGTGTTATGTTATCCTATTTCACTTTATTAGGTATAAAAGAAATGGTCTATAAGAATCCAAAGTATTTTCAAATTAACTTGTTATTTGTGTTTTGGAAATGGGTGGCATCACAGTTCCTGGGCTGAACTCTAAGAAATTTTTATTTTACTGAAACTTCTGTCATTGAACTGCCGTAGCTGTCTTAATCTTAACACTTTCACCACCATTCTTGGACGTCTTTGTTTTTCCTAAAGAACCAGTTTCTCCTGACCTGATCAGAAGTCTATTGCTTAGCATTCTTTTGGCCCATAATATCAAGCTTCAGGCTAATAATTCTCTCCTTAGTTGCAGGGGGCAACCGTTCTTACCGACTTCCTTGAAGGGGACTCGAGCCTCAGCTCAAAATTAAATTCTGCAACAGTGTCTTCTTAAAGTTTTCAAATGTCTTACCTTTTTAAAGGCCATTCTCGTTCAAAGTATAGCTTACATTTTTTGTACTCATTTAATTTTTTTTCCCAAATCCTGCCGATTGTCAACACTCACCACGCTGCGGGATTCCTCTGTGAAAGGTCCCAAGAGTGTGGCGGGGACATGTAAGGACACACGGCCTCCCACCCTGGGCGTGGAAACTAATGGTGGGTGGTGCTTTTTGAGTGCCTGGCAGTATGCTGAGAGGTTCTACATGTCGTCACTCACGTGATGTTCACAGCACCCCCCACAAGAACAAGTGCTGTTATCAGCTCTAGTTGGTAGATGAGGAAACGGAAACAGACAATCTTCACAGCTACTCCGTGGCGGAACCGGCGTCCAAGGCCCAGCAGGCCGGCCCCAGGGGCTGTGTGCATATTTGTACCACGCTGCCTCTCCAGCCCGGGTGTGTGATAATAGTGTACTGGAGGGAAGTCCCCACACCTCATTCCAAGAGGAATGTTTCCTTTTGCTTCCTGTAACGTGAGTGATAAAGTTCCCCGAGACTTGCTGGTATAGATTAACAAAATATTTCACCATACAGAGCATAATGCATCGATTTATCGAATCACTGTGTTGTCTGCACACAGTGTGGACACGAGTGTGACACACTGGGTGTCAACCATACTTTAAAAATTGTGAAAAGAAAAGAAAGAAATATTTCACCACAAGAGCTACGGTGGTTGAGAATGCAATTCTCCTGAGTCATCTTGTCTAAATGTTCCCTGGTGGACCGTCGTTCCTTTTTGTGGTGGCTGAACAACACAGTGGCATCTTAGGAAAGTTTATACTTTAGAGGAACAACAAGCCGTTTCTGCAAAGCTCTCATTAGTACACTGTTACAGAGAAATGTGAACGTGGGTTTTGAGGACATGCATTGCAGGTCTCCAAACCATGAACGGATCATGTGCATGAACAGATGACATGCGAGTCAGCGTGTGTGCTCATCCCCATCCCTGCCAAACCCCTGGGTGCTCTTTCTCTATGATTTATAAGAGGGTCTGTTCACATCACACCGACCTTGCCCATGACCTTGGTGCATACTCAGGGCTCTTACATTTGACATGAGTTCATAAAGATAAATGAGTTCTTAGGTGACTAGAGGCACTTAAGGGATTAACAGCCATTGGTTTATGTGTTAAAAAGGCTTCGGGGAGCATTCGGTCACTGTGTCATATCCTGGTTCAGAATGAACATGCTGGCATTTCTTTTCAGCACTGACTCATGAATCTTGGTAATTGTCTATACTTAAAACAATTCTGGGATAATATTTTTCTGGGGCTGTTGGAGCAAAGGTACCAGCATTCTCCACTTAGATTTCAGTTGCTTGAGGGTGATGCAGAATCAGAAAGGGCAGATCAGTTAAATCCTTCGCTCATAAGAGAATAATTTTCTTGCTGAGTAGTAGCTGAGTGGTAATAGTTTAAAAACCAGTAACAGACCTATCTTCTTTGATATCAAGAAAAGAAAAAGGCACCTGAGATGAAATTCCAAAACCAGAGAGATGCTAGAATTTCCAGTTAAGAATGAACAGGTATTTTTGTTGTTAGTTTGAGTCAGAACTTTAAATGCGTATTTTAAGTAGCTTTGAAAATATTTTAACTTTCTACTGTAATCTGCTTAGCATAATTAGGAAACATATGTTGAAGTACATGTATTATATTAATGGTCAGATTATTTTAGCACTGTTCCCAATGCTATTTAAATTTTGGCCATTCTTACGTGGATTTGGGGGTACAGTTTCTTGAGATATTTTTACTGACAAGCTGTGAAAGTGCAGTGTATTAAACTGACCAAGCATATCCTATGGAAAAACACTAACACTACACCCAGCCCAGCTGTGTATGTTAACAGCTATCAAAGAGGCCAGTAGGAGTAGTCTTAACTACAGCCAGGCAAGTTCTATTGCGTCATGACCTTTTGGCTTTTCCTTTCCATCAAAAACATCTGACAGATAAAAATTATTCAGTGTCTAAAGTGTACTTGTCTCTCACTGAATTAATTAAACTTAACGAGCACAAAGCAAAGCATATAAATTAACTCTGCAGAAGGATACTAATCAGCAGTAACTGAAATTAATATGAAGTGTTAAAAAGAAAAGGAAAATGGAATAATCCAGTCTCATCCCAAATGGCCTGTGAGATGAACTTCGTAAATATCTGTTTGGGATCATTTTGTGTTCCGGCTGAATTTTTGCTGTGAGTGTGTTCTGCGTCTTGGCCTTGAGAGCGTGTGGCATTCTCGGCCGCGTGTACAGACTTTGGTGGAGTGGACACACAGCCATGTTCACGCATACGTCTGCGGGCAGCCTGAAGCGGCCAAGTGACACTGCTTTAGGAACGGGGTCTGTGAGGCCCAGCACGTGAGCCTGCAGTTCCCATACCAGATGAAGGGCCTCTTCATTCCAACACAATTGTTACCCTCCTGCCAACTGGCCTGGACTCCACTCTGGGCAGATGGACATGATTCAGAAGGACAGCAAATGGGGGAGGAGAGGGATCCGTCAGTTGCTGAAAGCAATTCAAAGCCCTGAGGCTTTTCCCCTCTACCTGCTCCATCACCAAGCCTAATTGGGTTGGCTCCTTTTTTTCCCCCTTCCACCAAAAGCCCTTCCATTGGCCTTTTGCGATGAATTTTCTCCTCTGAGCTATTTGTGACATGACCTTTCAATGATTTTACCTCATTGAGAGAACTGGATCCAGAGAGAGGCTGATTGAGGGGGATTTACCTGGGGCTCCATATATTACTCAGATGGCTGTATTTCACAGACCACCGTGGGGGTGTTTAAGAAAACATTTATAACAGCAAGAAAGACGTGCTGCAACAAAAAGTTAAATTTCTTAAGTTTAAGAGAGGAAATTCGGTTATTCCTCGAAGAAGCCAGTTCATAAGACACTAATGTTATAGCACAAACCGGAAGTTGTAGGTGCAGTGTCGGGAACTTCGCTTCCTGGCTTTGAACCCCTGCCCTGACATTCACTAGCTGTGTGAATTCAGGCAACTTATCCAGTTTTCCTGTGCCTCAGTTTCCCTAGATACCTACTAGGGTTGTGAGAATAAATTGAATTAATCCACGTGAAGCACTTAGGAGAGTATCTGGTTTGGTAAACAGTCAGGAAAATGCTAAACATTTTTGTTACGGCAACGAAGTACTTTTATTAACAATCTATATATTCTCTACTCCAAAAATCAATTAAGGCATCATCCCAAAGCAATACATAACAAACAAAAAATGAGAAAAGTGAAAATAAAAGTGCAAAAATCCATTAAAGGGGTGAGAGAGGTACCTGGGTACACGGATGAGTTTAGCTATGTGATGTGACTCATAAGTGCAGAGCCCTAAGACTTGCTGGGTTAGGTGCTTCTCTCTGTCTGATAAAAGGAAGCATGTAGATTCTTCTTAAAAAACAAAATTTTTAAAGCACTAAATTCTAAGTCCTTTATGTGGCTGCTTAAATTGGGAGAAGCAAAGAGCAAATCAATTTCTTCAATTTTAAAAAAGATTAGAACATAACAAAATTACAGAAATGAAGAACAGATAGGTGGTTGCCAGGGACTGATGATGGCAGAGGGGAGGGATGTGGGTATGACTATATGACCATGATGGGATAGCATGAGGGAGGTCTCTATGGTGGTAGCTTGACTGCAGCCGTGGTTAGATGACTCTACACACCTGACAAAATGGCACAGAGTGATACGTATACATTGTACCAATGTTAGTTAATTCCCGTGTGTGTGTGTTTTTTTTTAAGTGGGCTCCACGTTGGGTGTAGAACCCAATGTGGGGTTTGAACTCAAAACCCTGAGATCAAGACCTGAGCTGAGATCAAGAGTCAGATGCTTAACCAACTGAGCCACCTAGGTGCCCTTAATTTCCTGGTTTTGATATAAGATGATAGTTATGCAAGATGGAACCAATGATGGAAACTGGGCTAAGGGTAACTGGACCTCTCCTTACTATTTTTGCAACTTCCTGTGAATGTACAAATATTTCAAAATGAAAGTTAAAAAAAGAATATTTTTCCAATGGATATTACTTACACTGCTGTGAAAAGATTGTTGCATGTTTGGTTTTTTATTTTTCTTTGAAAGAGTTATTTTCCTTAAGATAATTTTAGGTTCTTGCACTTCCCCCAGCCACCCAAAAAGTCTCAAAGAGATCTCGCATATCCCTTAATCACATAAATCACATTTAACTTTTAAAAAAGTTAAAATTTATTTCAAATCTTCATTTTCCTTCTGTAACCAGGCTTGCATTTTCCTAACCAGTATTGGCAAGTCAACTCTAATCCTCTCAAATTCCCACTGATTTATGCTCAACCATTTGCTCGCCACCTATCCATGTGGAAGTAGTCATTTCAGTTCTGAACTGCCTTGATTTATATCAATATTTCTGGGTTACTTTCTGTAACAAGATTTTATTTATGTACAGTGATCTCCTTATCTTTTTTTATGTCAGCTATTCCCTGATGTTGGCTTGTGACATCTCTAAGACTCTTAAGGAGGCAAGCCTTGAGTTTATCTGGATTTATCTGGCTTTCTGAGAGGTAGGTCACATGGCTACAATGGTACGTTTCTATGTGATAAGCTAGGAGCCACTCCAGACTTTTGTACCATTAACCAGACGTGTATGTGCGTTTACTTCCCCGCCTCTTAGGTGATTTATAAACCTGCTAGCTGCCTTTTGTTTGCTGCAATCTGGCACAAAGCCTCGATCCTGCTTCAAGCATCAGTATCCACTCGGGATGTTGCTCTATTTGGGGGGGATGCAGGCACGCACCTTTCATCTGCACGAAGTCGAGCTGGTGAATGGATTGCAGTAGAGGGCTGTTGTCCAGACTCAGGTCGAAGTCCGTGGTCATCCTGGGAGTGAGCGTGCCTTTCCCCCACTGGTCCTCAGTCAGGTGCACTCTCCTTATGAGGGCGTCAGAAATCTAATCACATCAAAGACCACAGCCTAAGAAATATAATACCGCACTGGACACAGAACCCTGCTCCTACACTCTCCAGGAGCATTACCAAACCACTTTGGGACTCACACCTTTCCTATCTCCATGTAGGCAGTGAGAAGCCTATTATGACAAGGGTCACCCGTGCAAATCTGGGTGCTTTCGTGAGTCGGAGGGAGCCACTATATAATTAGCAGCTGTAAATTGCTCTAATAGATAAACCTGGCTACGCTAATAATATTTATGACTAATCAACTAAAAGCCAACAACATTAAATAATATTTTGGTGATCTGTTAATCCTAGTAGAACTAACAACCCTAAGTTTCTAATAGGAGGTGTGGGTATTTTGTCAACCCTTGGAAGGAGTTCTATAAAATAGTTTAGAGAGGCTGCATATGGTAATCTGTAAAAGTGGAATTTCTTACACTTTAAGCCTGTCATCTTCTGTATCACTTTATTCTTTGATAGAGAACTCTTCCATTTCTTATATTTAATCTCCCTTTGTCACTCTTGGCCAGTTTGATAAAACATGAATTGGAAGGAATCTATGTATTCCTTAATAAAATCTCCCTTAATCATTGAGATCAAAACATAAGTAAAATTCAGCTGACATCATCACATCTCATTAAAACAATCAACATTGAAAAAATCATGAGAAATCCAAGGAATGAAAAAACTTCACTTTATTTGGGAAATCACTGGCCAGTAGGAACTGTCAAGAAGGTAGAAGCCTTGCATATTTAGACATTTCTAGCTGACAAAGCTGTCCAAGATATTAGTGGAAAGGGACCCAATTCTTAGGCAAGGCAGTAACTCTGCTTTGGAGGAACTTACAGGGAATTACATTTTCATGATTAAACATGAACAAAAACAAATTTTAAGAAGCCCATATACTTCTCAATCTTGTAGCACATGGTGGCAGAGACTTCCAGGAAGTTAGCAGAGTTTTGCTGGTGCCCACATATACATGGCAGCCTGAAAGTGGGTTCCATTGTGGAGGGACCCATGCTCAGCAAGGGCTGCTGGGAGTCTGGCTGTGGCGTTGTAGACTGAGTTTCATGGGACATTGAGAATCTGAAGTGGAAACTAGTTGACACTTACCTGCAAAAAGCCACTAGGATCATTTTCCTTAATGACCTCCAGGCAGTACTCCATGAGACCTGTGGTCTGGCGCAATTTCACTGTGCAGTGAGAGATCTGATCTCGAACCACCTACGATTGATGAGAGAACAGAACAGCCCAAAGTGGCACAGGGTGAAAAAGAAGCAAACTGTGGTGCTGAAGGAACATCTTCTTCAGGTTCCCCTTGCTCCCCATCTTCCAGGAAGCTGACACTGTGAGCTGTTCTAAGCGGGAGGTCATGGAGAGTCTACGAAGGAGCTGAGCAACCTGAGGTGCGGCTGCAGCTTCTGTTCTGCGAACAGTCACCCACCTGCTCCCACCCTGTGCCTCTCTTCTAAAGAGCAAACATCCCCATCTGAACCCAATTCCTTCTCATTCTGATTCTTCTTCCTGAGTGGGTGGTGGGATGGGGTTAGAGGTGAAACTTGCTGAAGACAATGAGCTGATGGCAAGGAAGCCAGACAAACATGAATGCAGAGTTAAGTTTTGAGTATAACCCACTTAGAAGCAGTCACTGCCTCATTTGGGAGAGCAGTTTTTTAAAAAACATTTTATTTACTTATTTAGAGAGACAATGAGAGAGAGAGACAGAATGAGCAGAGGAGTGGCAGAGGGAGAGGGAGAAGCAGACTCCCCACTGAGCGGGGAGCCCGATGCGGGGCTCGATCCCAGGCCCCTGAGATCATGACCTGAGCCGAAGGCAGACGCTTAACCCACTGAGCTACCCAGGTGCCCCTGGGAGAGCAGTTTTAAAGGCTCTCTATTTACCATGCTGTGAGTCTGCTTTAACCTAGAAAGGCATCTCTCTGAACATGCAGTTTCTGCCTCTGGGAAGTGTCAAACATATGACAGTCCTTGAAAAGTTTCTTTCTTCAAAGATTCATTTTCCATGTCCTCTGCTCAGTGACCCAAATCCTCAAGTAGTTTCTGAGGCTAGAGTTGAACAAGAGTTTTCTAGGAACCTCAGTTACTTACATCCTCAGTATTTATATTACTTTGTAAAAGCCTCAAAAATATCCAGCCTTCTGGATTTTATAAATAATAACTAAAATTGAGTTTTAATAATAATTATTGAAAAGCTTTTTCTTTTTCTTTGTTCTTTTCAGTTTTGATTATACATTTTCCATTAAAGATTATTATATCTACTTTCGAAAACAATTGGAAAACAGACCAAAAAAAGCAGTCATCTCATCACTCTAATGCAAATTTTTAAAGCATTTTGATATTTCCTTTTAGGTTTTATCCTTGCGCTAGATATATTTATAGTTGCAATCATAATATGTGACAATTTTACCTCCTTCGCACTTAACACTATACCATAGGCATTTTACATGTTGCCACCATCAATAAGTGTTACTGGCTCCATAAATATCCCACTGAGTGGGTTATTGTAATTAAGTAACCATTCCTGTTCCTCTATTTTTGGACATTTAAATTCCTCCTAATTTTTTTTGACAATTCATCCATTTATTTTTGCTGGTGTCTGTTTCTAATTTTTGTTTTATTGTTATAAAATATACATAACATAAAATTTACAATTTTAGCTATTTTTTAAAAAAGATTTTATTTATTTGAGAGAGAGAGACAGAGATAGTGACAGAGATAGTGAGAGAGAGAGAGAGAACGAGCAGGGAGGAGAAGGAGAAGCAGGCTCCCTGCTGAGCAGGGAGGTGGATGTGGGACTCGATCCAGGACCCCGGGATCATGACCTGAGCCGAAGGCAGACACTTAACTGACTGAGCCACCCAGGTGTCCCAACCTTAGCTATTTTTAATTAGATAATTCTGTGGCATTAAATACATTCATATTGTTGTGCAACTCTCATCACCATCCATTTCCAGAATTGTTTTCATCTTTCCAAACTAAAACTTTGCACCTATTAAACAATAACTCTCTATTCTCCCCTCCCCACTGGTCCCTGATGATGCCACCATTCTACTTTCTGTTTCTATGGATTTGACTACTCCAGGACTCTCATATAAGTGGAATCATATAATATTTGTCTTTTTGTGACTGGCTTATTTCATTTAGCATAATGTCTTCAAGGTTTATCCACATTGTAGCTGATGTCAAAATTTCTTTCCTTTTTTTTTTTAAGATTTATTTATTTTAGAGAGAGACAGAAAGCACAAGTGGGAGGGGCAAAGGGAGAGGGAGAGAGAAACACAAGCAGACTCCTTGCTCAGCACAGAGCCCAATGCAGGGCCTATGATCGCATCCTGAGCTGAAACCAAGAGCCGGACTCTTAATTGACTACACCACCCAGGCACCCCTGAATTTCCTGAATGATATTCCATTGTAGGTACAAAGCACATTTTGTTTATCCATTCATCCACTGAGGGACACTTGGGTTGCTTCTACCTTTAGCTATTGTGAATAAAGCTGTTATGAACATGGGTATACAAATATCTGTGAAAGTCCCTGTTTCACTTCTTTTGGGTATATACCCTGAAGTGGAATTGCTGGATCATATGGTAATCCTATTTTAGTTTTTTTGTGGAATCATCATACTGTTTTCCGTAGCAGCTGCACGGAAACATTTTATATTCCCATTAGCAATGCACAAGGGTTCCAACTTCTCCACATCCTCACCAACACTTATTACTATCTTTTTAAAAAAAATAATAATAGCCATCCTAATGGGTGTGAAGTGGTATCTCATTGGGATTTTGATTTGCATTTCCCTAATGACTAGTGATGCTGAGCATCTTTTCATATGCTTATTGGCCATTTGTATATCTCCTGTGGAGAAATGTCTATTCAAGTCCTTTGCCCATTTTTTAATTGGCTTGTTTGTTTTTTTGCTTTTGATGCACAAAATTTATAAATTTTCATGAAGCCCAATTTGTCTACCTTTTCCTTTGTTGCCTGTGTCTCTGGTGCAATATCCAAGAAATCACTGCCAAATCCAGTGTTGTGAAGCATTTGCCCTGTGTTTTCATCTAAGAGTTTTATAGTTTCAGTTCTTACATTTAGGTCGTTGGTCCATTTTGAGTTAATTTTTGTATATGGTATTAGGTAATGGTCCAACTTCTTTCTTTGGCATGTGGATAGCCGGTTTTTCCGGTGTCATTTGTTGTAAAACTGCCCTTTCCCCATTGAATGGCCTTGCCACCTTTGTCAAAATCATACTGTTTTCATTATTGTAGCTTTGCAGTAAGTTATATAATCAGGAAGTGTGAGAACTCCAGTTTTGTCCTTTACACGATTGTTTTGGCTCTATGGAGTCTCCTAGTTTTTTTGACAGATGATTTGTTACCCCTTTTTCACTTTTAATAAAATTAAAATAAAAAATAAAGTGTAGGATTTAAAATCTCCGTGTCAGAATTGGTGAAAGAAACCAACTTTGATGTGAAGATCGGTTTGTGATTTTGGCGGGGAGAGGGGAGATCAAATTTAAAATTCAGTGATTGACTTATTTTCTTCTGACATCTAGTATTCTATCAAACCACCATCCCTATTTGTTGGTCTGGGCTCATGGAATGCAAATTATTATTATTATTATTTTTAATAAAAAGTAAACAGGAAGATTAAGTTTCTGCTTCTTATGGAGAAAAAAACACAAATTACCCAAAAGCATAAAAAAAAATCCAGGACAGGTGACCTACAGCTAATATGCTACTCCTCTCTGCTATCTTAGGTGTAACTAAATTATTCCCAGAAAATGTTTTGATATTTTGGTAGCCAGTGCATCAATGCTTCTAGGTAGTAGGAGTCTCAGCAGTTGCCAATCACTATCCAAATGGCATCTGTCCTAGGACTGTGCATACATAACCGACTGGTGCTCAAGTCTGAAATAACAAGCACAGACTAGATCTGGGCCTTGTAACCCAAAGTGAGTCTGCTGTTGAGGCAAAATAGACATGAATTGTTGTGTTTATGTTCCAGAGCATTCAGATCAATGATAATTTTATGACCTAAATGTACTGAAATAAATACGTTAATCAGGCCTCATAAAATTCTATGTTTGCTTCTCTAAATTTCCTTCTCAAGCAAGATTTATTTGATGCCGAAGGAACTGTCTGATTGTTGGAGCTCTCTGACTACTCTTAAGAAGCTTCACTGTAGTAAAGAGTTGGTGAGTTTCAGTGGGGGTTGGCCATTGGCTCCTGTATTCCATGGTTCAAGCTTCTTGGAAGGACTCAATATCCCTGAGTTCCTGGCTCTCGACTCCCACTGTTCCAACAATGGATTTTGGCCCATCTCTTTACATTTCAATCAACCATTTCACAATGCTCCCAGTAGCCTGTGATAAAAATCACTGCTAAAAATTAAACTACAAAGTTCCCAGAAGCAGCACTTTTGGGTGTGTTGTAACTGACGTCTAGTTTTTCTTTTCTTTTCTTTCCTTTTCTTTCTTCCTTCCTTTCTTTCTTTCTTCCTTTCTTTCTTTCTTCCTCCCTTCCTTCCTTCCTTCCTTCCTTCCTTCCTTCCTTCCTTTCTTTCTTTCTTTCTTTCTTTCTTTCTTTCTTTCTTTCTTTCTTTCTTTCTTTCTTTCTTTCTTTCTTTCTTTCTTTCTTTCTTCCACAGAGAGAGACACAGCGAGAGAGGGAACACAAAACACAAGCAGGGGGAGTGGGAGAGGGAGAAGCAGACTTCCTGCTGAAGATGCGGGGCTCGATCCCAGGACCCTGGGATCATGACCTGAGCCTAAGGCAGAGGCTTAAATGACTGAGGCACCCAGGTGCCCCTGACATCTAGTTTCTGAATTAATTTGGCAAGATTTCCCATCCTATGGAAATCAGCCAAATAATCAGATCTTTTAAGAGTATAAATATTTTTTCTCTAGTTGAGAGTTTTTATCAGCTCTCTTACTTGTTACCTTCCTCACTCTGTGTTATTTCTACTACTATTATTATTTATCTCATGTTATATTTTTTATGGAAAACAATTCCTAGGAAGCTAGGCCATGTCACTTTTCCCTTGAGTTCCACATTTCTGTGCAGTTGCTCTGATCTCCGGAGAAACCATGTTTGCAGCTGGCTGGAGTTAAGAGTTCCTTTTCCCAGGAAGGAAATGTGCAAGTTGCAAGAATGACACAAATAGGGACTGGGAAACAATCTTCCTGCTTTCATCTGCATTATGGCCTGAACCAGCTCTCTGGAGACAATGAATTAATCTTTAGTTCATAGTTTCAGAGAACGCTTTCACAGTTTTATTAGCAGTCCCCATCTGTTCGGGATAGCAAGTCCTATTGATCACTTGAACGTTTTTATTTTGTTAAGTGG